AGAGAGAGAGAGAGAGAGAGAGAGAGAGAGAGAGAGAGAGAGAGAGAGAGAGAGCGCGCACAAGAGCGATTCATGAACATAGGTGCAGTTGCCCTTGGAGTCCAGAAGAGGGCGTCAGATGCCCTAGCGCTGGAGTTACATGAGGTTGTGAGCCACCTGATGTAGGCACTATAAACCAAACTTGGGTCTTCTGGAAGACTAGTAAGCACACTCTTACATCTTAGGTGTATGAGTGTTTTGCCTGCATGTATGTATGTGTATCACATATGTGCCTGGTGCCCTCAGAGATCAGAATAAGGTGTCATGCCCTAGAACTGCCTGGGTGTTGTGAGCTGCCCTGTGAGTGTTGGGAACTGATCCCAGGTCCTCTGCAAGAGCAGCAGTGCTCTTAGCTGCTGCTCCCTCTCCCCAGCCCTCTTCAGCGGTAGTGCTGGGATTACAGGGAAGCCCTCACAGCCCGCTGTGTACTATAGGGCTCTAGCAGTTTTGGTTAAATTGATTCCTATGGCTAGTTTATCACTCCACAGCCTTCCTGAGGGGAAGAGCCGCATGAATCATCCCTCTTTGTATTCTTAGCAGTGTTTGGCTCAGGTCCTTGGACCTAGTGTAAACTCAGAAACTATGAATTAAAACAACAACATACTCTGTTGTTTTGGAAAGAAACTTTTCACACACTCTCTAAGTTCCAGTGTGTTTCTAAATTCTCTTTTGGAGACTGAACCCAGAGTCTAGGCATATCATTGCCCACACCTTCAGCCCCTACACATTTCAGTTTCTGTGTCGCCCAGGCATAATGGTAGCAGGAGAAGTAACTTTTGGGGGAAGGGAAATTTTTGAGCAGGGTCTCACTATGTAGTCCAGGCTGGCCTGGAACTGGATGTGCAGCCCAGATTGTCCTTGAACTCAAAATCCTGCCTCATCCCAGCCAAGTGCTAGAATTCATGTGTAAGCATCTGCTCAAATTTCTCATTCTTGTGTTACTGACACACTCATAGTTGTTGAATATTTGATCTCAAACTGGGATTCGTGGGCTATAAAAACAGAATTTGAGTTAGGTGTGGAGGTATATCTCAAAAATTCCCAATATTCAGGAGGCTGAGGCAAGAGGATTATGAGTTGTTTGCCGGCTTGAGGAATTTAGTGGACCCACATTAAAGAAATTAGAGGGTTAAGGATGAAGCTCAGTGGGTGAGAGCTTGGCCAGCACTCTTAAGACCCTGGTTTGACACCCACCGGCTACCCATCTCCAACTAGTTTAAGAAAGGGTGAGAAGAAGAGGGAGAGTCCATTGGCAGGACTTAGAGTGTCTCGGGGAAACGTGCCGGGCTCATACAAGCTGCAGGTGGCTTCGCTCCCTTTTCTCACTCTAAGGGCTGTGGGTACAGGGTCGCTTAGCTGCTGACCTGACCCTCTGGAGTCATTCCTGTCAAGTTTGACAGCCTACTGCAGACCTGATTAAAGCAGGCAGGACATGTCTAAAGAATGACAAAGATACCATAGCCTTCCCAGGGGTTGGACTTGGCCCAAGTTTCAGGCCAGAGTTATTTGTTCACATCTAGAGAGTGAACTTTGTTGACCCGTGAAAGTACATTTCTGTGGCTATGATCTTCTTTCAAGAAACTTTCTGACTTGTTTTTCCCTTTACCCCATTAGTTTGCCAAGCTCTCTCAAGTAAACGCTGAATTGTACTCTGTTTTCTACTGTGACTCAAAAGATTTGTTTAACGTGTGGTAATAATTAAATGTTGAAAAATTCAGAAAGATAACATACCCAAGTTTATCCCCTAGAACCGATAGCCATGAGAAAAGGAGCTAGGTGTGGAGGTACATGCAGTGTTCTTAGCACTGGGAGCTGGAAACTGGACGACTGGAAACTTAAGGCCCTCCTTGGCTACACAGAAGCCAGCCTAAGCTACATGAGACCCTATCTCAAAAACCAGAGAGAAAGCGAGGTTCTGCTTCACAGGGGGTTCTCTCTCTCTTTGTGTGTTAGTGGGGGCTGAACCTGGGGCCTGACAAGTTAGACAAGCTCTCCACACTAAGCCTTTTTTTTTTTAAAACTTACATTTTATTTATTGGGGAGGGGCACACACATACCATGGTGTCCTTGTGGAGGTCAGAAGACAGTTTGCAGGGTGGTTCCCCAGGGACTGAACTCAGACCATCAGGCCTGGCAGCAAGTGTCTTTATCCGTCAAGCCATCTCACCAGCCCATACACTGAGCTTTTTTATTTTTACTCTTTGCAGGGGTGGGGGGATGCACGAGAGAAGGGGGTGGGCTTATTTATTTGTTTTTGTTCTTTTGAGATGGTCTCCGAAAGCCCAGGCTATCTAGCTGAGTCTGGCCTTGAACTGTTTCCTCCTGCCTCTACAATCTAAGTGCGGTCACATCTGACCCCAGGCTTTTGATTTATGCCAAGCTCTTGGTCTTGAACCTATGGTGTAGCCCAGGCAAAACTTGAACTTGGTGATCACCCTTTCTCAACCTCCTCAGTAACTGGAGTTAAAGACTTGAACCACCAAGTCCAACTTGGAAACTCTTACCAATTATTATTATAAAACTCAGAAAATAGACCAGGCTGGCCTCAAACTCAGAGATCTGCCTGCCACTGTCTGTATAGAATGCTGGAATTAAAGGCTTGTGCCACCACATTTGGTCTTACTAATTGTTACTACTATTTGTTGTTGTTGAAATAGTTCAATGTAGCCTAGGCTGGCCTTGAACTAGCTATGCAGCCAAGGATGTCCTTAAACTCTTGACCCTCCTGCTTCTTACCTTCTCAGATGCCAGGCATGGAAACTTGTCATCGTCTTCTCTCTCTTCTGTTTCTTCTCCCCAGCCCCCAACTCGAACAACGAATATTTGATAAGTAGCTCACATCTACATACACGGAACACAGATAGTCTCTAAAATTTGTCTTTTAAATTTTTTAAGGATTTTAGTGTGTGTGTATATGTGTGTATAACAAGTGTTCCAGTGCCCTCAGAGGCAGAAGAGAGCTTTGGAAATCCTGGAGTTGGCTAGAGTCACAGGCAATCGTGAGCCACCAGACATGAGTGCTGGGGATTGAACTCGGGGTCTCAGGAAAGCAGGAAGTGCTCTGAACCACTGAGTCATCTCTCCAGCCCCCCAATTTTTTCGTTTTTGAGACAGAGTCTTACAGTTCACCCGATAGTCTAAGCTGGCCTTGAGTTCACCATCCTCCTGCCTCAGCTTCCCAATGTGGCTAGCATTACAAGTGTATGCCACCATGCTTGGCTCTAACTTAGTTTTGGAAAGGTTTTATGCCAGTTTCTACTGCCACCTAATTTATTTCCTAGAGAGACAAGGTCTCACCATATAGCTGTGGCTGGCCTAGAACTGCTATATAGACCAGTCTAGCCTCAAACTTGCAGTGATCCTCCTGCCTCGGTTCTGAGTGCTGAGTTGTTGGCGACTATACCTGGCTTTTATTTTTTCCCTAGTCCTGGTTGTTGTAATTCATTTTTGTGCCTTCCATGGACAAAGAATGGTCTGTAGAGGCCCGATAGTTTAATGGCATTTTGAGATTTATGCATCAGCACAGATGTCAGTCAGGATAACGGCCTGTTGGTGTTTATGTGTGAGCACACAAGCACAAGTTCATGTGCACCACAATGTGTGTGTAGAGGTCAGAGGGCAACTTGTGGGGTTGATTCTCTCCCTGCCATGAGGGTCCCAGGAACTGAAGTGAGGGTATCAGGCCGGGCGGCAGTGCCCGTCTGTCCTGAGCCTCCCCCAGCCCTGTATTACAGTTCCTAACACTTGAGTGGTGTTGGCGGGTCACTCAGGCTTGTTTAACATCTGTCAGTGTGTTGTGTACATTGGCGATGCTGACTGCTAAATCTAAACCTTGTTTTTCAGACCGGTAAGATCTGGACATGTCCTTCATATTTGACTGGATTTACAGTGGGTTCAGCAGTGTGCTGCAGTTCCTAGGTAACTCCGCTTTGCTCTTTGTGGCTCCCCTGTTTGCCCCTGTTGGTGTGAATGCACTTGTTTGGAGAGAGCTCCTTTATGTAAGCCTGTGCTTAAGAAAGTGAGCTTTGAAATTATGAAATACATCCAGTGACTCACTCCCCTGAAACCACGTAATCTTAGGTCAGGTGTGGGAGAGCACACCTGTGTCCTAGCACTCAGGAGGCTGAGACTGGAGGGTTACAGCAGGTTCCACGCCAGCCTGCTCTTCAGAAAGAGCTTAAATCTTAAAAAAAGTTGTGTACTCTTGGATAATTTATTTTCTACTTAACCCCAAGTTTCTTATCTATAAAATGGCAATTTTTAAATGTACTGGAGATTGAACCTAGGGCCTTACACATGTTGGGCATGTGTTCCAGCACTGAGCTGTATCCCCAGCCTAGGCTCTAATGAGCCTACTCCTAGAATTTTATTTATTTATTTAGAGACAGGGTCTTACTCTGAACCCTTGGCTGGCCTGGAACTCAAGGAGATTTGCCAGCCTCTGCCCCAAGCCCCTAGTGCTGAAATTAAAGGTATGTGTCACCATGTCTGGCTTCTACCTCTTATAATTATTGTCAGTAATATTTCTAACAGAAATATATATTGCTTCTTGGTGAGTTTCTCTGCATCTTTTAATTCTTTTATCTCATTGACTCTTCTGTGAATGGAATCCAATGTGTTACCTTTGGTTGCTTTTGGTAGCGACTCTGACCCAAGGCTTCTTGCATGCTAGGCTGTTGCTGTATCAGTTGATAAATCCCTAGCCCTGTCGAGTATGTGGCTCATTATAAACGTCTGTGTCTGGGCCGGGGGAGACGGTTCAGTCAGTCAAGTGCTTGTTCAAGCAGGAGGACCTGAGCTCCATCCCAGCACCCACAAAAATAAAAATAGAGGCTGGGTGTGGTGGCGCACGCCTTTGATCTGAGCACTGGGGAGGCAGAGGCAGGCGGATCTCTATGAGTTCACGGCCAGCCTGGTCTACAAATCAAGTTCCAGAATATCGAAAGCTATACAGAGAAACCCTGCCTCGAAAACCCAAACATTAATTAATTAAAAACACAAAACTGCTGGCGGGGGTAGGATAGGACTGGCTGGAGAAATGGTTTAGCTGTGCTGGTGGTGGTGGTGGCGGCGGTGGTGGCGGTGGCGGTGGTGGTGGCACACACCTTTAATCCCAGCACTCGGAGGCAAAGGCAGGTGGATCTTGGTGAGTTCCAGGCCACAAGAGCTACCCAGTGAGACCTTGTCTCACACAAACAAACAAACAAACAATCAGACAAACAAACAGAGCCCTGATTGTTCTTCCAGAGGACCTCAGTCAATTCCCAGCACCAACCACCGTCTGTACCCAGTTCCACAGGATATGACTTCCTCTCCTGCCCTCCTCCAGCACCAGCTGTGCACACGGCATACAAACAGACATGCAGCAAAACACCTAGAGAGCTCAGTGGACTAAGGTGCTGGCTGCCACGGCACACAGGAGACAGAGGCAGGCCAGTCTCTGAGTTCAAGGCCAGCCTGGTCTACAGAGTGAGTTCCAGGACAGCCAGGACTCTTACATAGAGAAACACTATCTCAAAAAACAAAAAAAGAAAGGAAAGGAAAAGAAAAAGGAGAGGAAAGGAAAAGAAAGGAAAAAGATTACAGAGGTGGCCATGTAGCCCAGCTGGAACTAGCATGTGGAATTAGCATGATCCCCCTGCCTCCACTTCATCAGTGAATGTTGGAATTACAGATAAGTTTGGCTATGCTTGGATAATGTGTAGATTTTTAAATTGCTCTTTTAAAACTGAAAATGAGGGATGGAGGAGATGGCTCAGCAGTTAAGAGTACTGGCTGCCTGCCCTTCCAGAGGACCTGGGCTCAATTCCCAGCACCTGCATGGCAGCTCATATAACTGTCCATAATTCTAGTCTCAGAGGACCCCTCTTGTGGCCTCTTCAGACACTACGTGCAGGCATAACATAATAAAACCTGAAAATAAGAGCTAGGCCTTACTTGGTGGTACAGACCTCTGACCCCAGCTACTCAGGAGACTGAGGCAGGAGGATCATAAATTAAAAGTTAGCCTGAGCAACAGAATGAATTCAGAGCCAAGTTGGTCAATTTGGTAAGCTCCTGTCACACTGAAAAGTAAGAGGAGGAGGAGGGTACAGCTCAGTGACAGGAAGCACTTGCCTGGACTGACCTGAGGGTGGCACTGCCTTCCACAGACAGAAACGAGAACAGAGCTGAAGATGCCTTAGGAAGCCAAGCTTACTTATGCTCAGTGTTTTTATTTATGCTGAGGCAGGGTTAGAGTTGATTACTGTTTCTTTGGTTTGGTTGGTTAATTGTTTTTTTCCAGACAGAGTCTCTCTGTATAGCCCTGGTTGTCCTAAAACTCAGTTTGTAGACCAGACTGGCCTCAAACTCAGAGATCTGCCTTGGGACTAAAGGCATGCAACAAGGCATGCAACATGGCATGTTTGGTTTTTTAAGACAGAGTTTCTCTGTGTAACATTCCTGGCTGTCCTGAAACTCTCTTTGTAGACCAGACTGGCCTTGAACTCACAGAGAACCTCCTGCCTCTGCCTCCCAAATGTTGGGATTAAAGGCATGTGCCACCATGCCTGACTCGGCCGTTTGTTTTTTAAAACAGTCTCTTTACATAGCCCTGGCTGCCCTGGAACTATGTAAACTAGGCATGATACACCTTCCTCTGCCTCCTGAGTGCTGGGATTAAAGGCAATCATGGGCTACCAAACTTGGCCTGGTTTTTGTTTTTTTGAGACAGGGTCTCATGTAGTCCAGGCTGACCTCAAGCTTGCTATATAGCTAAGAATTGCCTTGAATTCAGATTCTCCTGCCTTTATCTTCCAACTGTTGGGATTGCAGGTATGGTAAAGTTGCAGTTTATTAGGGTTTTAATATTAATTTAAGCACAGACAGAGAGAAGCACTTAGGAGAAGGACATCGCACACCCAAGCGTTCTAGACTTCTCGAGAGTTGCATTCAGGTGTCTTAACAATAACCGAGTACAACAATAACAGTAACTTTCATGTCATGTCAAATATAAAGTCATTTTCATACTCCATGTTGGATGACACTCTGACTGATCGGAACTCTTCTTCTGCAGGGTTGTATAAAAAAACCGGTAAACTGGTATTCCTTGGGCTGGACAATGCGGGGAAAACGACGTTGCTGCACATGCTCAAAGATGACAGGCTTGGCCAGCACGTCCCGACACTGCATCCCAGTAAGTGGTCGCTTCCCTGTGAGTAAGGCCGAGTCGCAGGCCCTGCCCAAAAGTTGTTTTGACTTGGGGTTTTTGGTGAATAAAGTATGAGATTATTCAACCTGTTCCTGAAACAGCTGGGTAAATAGTAACTGACCTGGTTCCCAGAGCACAAATTAAGATCTAGAAGTACTTGACTACACCATGAGCCCAGGCTAGGTTACGGAATAAGAACCTACAGAGCCAGCAGCAGAAAGAAATAGTGGGCTAATTTATATCTGTAACTGTCACAGTGAGAAGATTATAAACCAGGCAGATACAGTTTAAAAACAAGTTAATTGAAGGATGTGTGTGATGGCGCATACCTTTAACCCCAGCCCTCTGAAGAAGAGGCAGGTGGATCTGTGAGTTCGAGGTCAGCTTGGATATCATAGTAAGTTCTAGGTTAACCAGGGTCCATAGTGGGACCTTGTCACAAAAAATAACAATGAAAAGAGTTGCCTTCTGGTCTGCACATGTACCTGAGGCACACAAATACCTGCACTCATACATACATAAAATAAAAATAAATGACATTTTGAAAGGGCTTAATTCTTTAAGACAGAGATGTGTGTGCAGAATTAGAACAAACAGCTGACTATTTTTTCTTCTCTTTTGCCTGCTAGTGCTGTTCCCTTCATTTACCCCAGGAATAGTTTTTGAGCACCTACTGTATGCCACACCTGTGTCTAGACACAGGAAATTGCAGGGCACAGAGCAGGTGATCTTTCACTTACCCCAGGAATAGTTCTTGAGCACCTACTGTATGCCACACCTGTGTCTAGACATAGGAAACTGCAAGGCACAGAGCAGGTGATCTCTCAGCTTTTCTTGCATCTCACATTCATCCCAACTTGTATTTTTCCATTTAAAGCATACATGGAAAAAGTAATAGCCTTGTGTCCTCTGATTTGGCAGTTCTACTACTAGGTGTTTATCTGGAAAAGTGAGAATATGTATTTACCAAAAGCCTGTGCAGAAAAGAGAAAGAAAGCAGCAGGGTATATTCTCCAAGAAAGAGGAACCAAAGCTGGGCATGCCGCCTGTGGTTCCAGTGCTTGGGAGGCAGAGGCTGGAAGTCACAAACTGGAGCTTGGTCTACACAGAGTTCCAGACCAGCCAGGAGAAATAAGACTCCATGAGAGAAGCTGGTCACAAGAAGTTCCCTGCTGTGTGACACCATCACATGGAATTTGAGAATTAGCCAGAATAATCCATGGTGATAGACTTGAGGTCTAGGTGGAGGCTGACAGGGAAGGGAGAGGGGACAGTCTGAGATGTTGACAGTCTCCTTCCTGTACCATAGTTAATTAAATAGGCATTTCTTTTCTGGGTAGAGTATGCACAGGGGTGTAACCGTGCCAATGGGTAGCCAGCCATATTCAAGCATTGCCCTTTTCTTTTGGAAGTAACTTTTAAATACAGACCCAATTAAGTATTTAATTTACTTGAAATACTATGTATAATCCCCTCCCTTTAGTTTTTGAGATAGTGTCTTGCTTTGTGGCCCAGGCTAACTTCAAACTCACTACCCTTCAACTTCCCTAGCTTCCCAGTTGCTGGAGGTGTGTGTGTGTGTGTGTGTGTGTGTGTGTGTGTGTGTGTGTGTGTGTGTGCGCGCGCTATGGGTGTGTGCTACCCCAGCCAGCTCACAAAATAAATGCTCTGGTGCTGAAATTTTCACTGTGGTTATGGAAGACTTCTCCTTAGGCCATGAAGGAAGATACCAGAGTCTGGAAGTCTTTCCCATTACAAATTAGGTAACTAGACAGAAGTATGTGTACACAGCTGTTTTCAAGCCCTGGGCAATAGCCGGTGCAGGACTGAAGTTCATAAGAGAAGGAAAATGAACTCTTCGTATTCATGTTTTCAAACCCAGGTGTAAGAGGAAGCCCAAATAACCCAGTCAGTTGAGGAGACAGAGACAAGAACTGGGAGGGCAGAACTTGCCAGGCACAGCACTGGAGGAAATTATTCCAGAAGTTAGCATGGACAATCCCTGTCTGTGCAGTCATGGAGTAGAACCCAAGGGACCACATCTGAAGAAAGAACAAGTCCACTAGAGTGAAGTTCAAGAATACAGTAAAATTTAGCATGAATTACAATTTTATAATGTAGAATTAGTAAGACATGCACAAAGTAAGTAAGTGTGACCCATAACCAGGAGAAAAATCTGTCCGAAGAAATGGACCCAGCAGTGACGAAGATGATAGGATTACCACACAGGGAGAGACAGCTCCGGTGGGCTGCGGATGGGGCTCAGTTGGTAGAATCTGCCTAGCCTGCGTGAAGCTGTGCAAATTCTGCATGGATTAAGCATGGTGGATCATGCAGGTAATCTGCTCCATAGCAAGTTCAAGGCCAGCTAGGTTGTATGTGCCCCGACTCAAGACACTGAGTTTGAAAGGCTCTTCTCTGTTTCTTTTATTACACTTACTTAGTCGGGATGTGTGCCATGCTGCAAGTGGAGGCCAACAGACAGTTGTGGGTGTCAGTTCTCCCATCCGCCCTGGGTTCTGGGATCAAATTTAGGTCACTGGGCTCAGTGGCAAGCCCCTTTACCTGTTGAGCCATCTTGCTGGCCCTTTTTTCTTTATTTATTTTAAATGTAAAGAGATCCTGTGACCAAGGATTTAAAGGAAAACCTGTACTCAATGAGGAGATAAATGAAAGATAATAAACATGTCTTTATAGTCCAGGCTAGCTCTGAACTTGCTCTGTAGCCAAGGATAGCCTTAAACTTGTGTTCTTCCTGCGTCTACCTCCCCATTGCTGGATTACAGTCATGGCCCCTATGTCTGGCAGATCCCTGATTGTACTGTAAAAATATCTTGTTTTTGTTTTAGCTTCAGAAGAACTCACTATTGCTGGCATGACTTTTACGACTTTTGATCTGGGTGGGCACATCCAAGGTAAGCTTCAATTTCTCTTAGTCTCTGTTTTATCTTAACTTAGTAAATATGGCAGCTATGGTCCAGAGCTTGGAATTGCATGCTCTTCAAGTAAGGCAGAGTAAGGTCAAGGGTGTGCTTTGAGAGCCAAGAGGGTTTTCATGATCGTTCTGACTCACTGGAGTCCGAACTGCTTGTGCTGGTGAGGTATGAAGCAAATTCAGCTTCCATTTTCTCTTTGCATCAGGCTCCTCTCACCTGTTGTCCAAATCCTATTATGAGCCTGTGATGCAGCCCCCAAAGCCCGCAGCAACTCACCGTTTCTTATAACACAGACTTGTCATTGTCCCAGCGTTCTCTGTGGTCCTTGCTCTCTTGCCATGTCTCCCACTAGAGCTGACCTCTTGTTCTCCCTCTGCTCTTGCTCACAAATCCCCATCTGTGAGATGTGACTCCCTCCCTGGAGAAGCCACCCTAGCGAGGAGTGCTCCAGCTGTACATATGTGGGACTTAGTGCCTCTGTGTACATTTTTACAGGACCTGAACCTAAGATGAACTTCTGTGGACTAACATCCTGTCTGGGTGGGGTTTTTTTGTTTTGGGTTTTTTTTTTTTTTTTTTTTTGTTTTTGTTTTTGTTTTTGTTTTTGTTTTTGTTTTTGTTTTTGTTTTTCGAGACAGGGTTTCTCTGTGTAGTTTTGGAGCCTGTCCTGGAATTCACTCTGTAGACCAGGCTGGCCTTGAACTCACAGAAATCCGCCTGACTCTGCCTCCCAGTGCTAGGATTAAGGCGTGCACCACCACCACCACCACCACCACCACCACCACCACCACCACCACCACCACCGCCCGGCCCTGTCTGTTTTATATCCCAGTCGCTCTTAGCATGTGGGGCACATGGTGTAGCACAGCTAGTGAACGCTCCAGACCTAGAGGCCCCTAAGCCTGTGATTAGAGCCAGTGCTCTTCTGGAAGCCTCGTGCTGGGCTGGGGTGCCAGCTCTGTAGTGCTGATGCTCTGTGGTAGAGCTTTCCACCTCCCATGCACTTCCTTCCCAGCACCATAAAAATAATAATAGTAAAATCGTTTTTAAAAAATGGTGCGACATATATATCAAAAGGTTTTCAGTGGCTGTGGCTAGTGAAAGCACATTTGAGACACACATTGGTTAATCTCCGGGGTATGAAGATTAGAGAATTAGAACACAGAGCTGGGGAGATGGCCAGTGGGTAACAGTGCTTCCCTTGCAAGTCTGAAAACCTGAATTCAATTCCCAGAATCCACAGTGAGAGGAGAGAACAGACTCCAGAGGTTAGTCTCTAAACTCCACAAGCTTGCTCTTGCACACACACTTGTACTCACAGACACATCATTAATAATAATAATAATAATAATAATAAAACTTAGAATCAAATGGCGTTTGCCTGAAATTTCATCTCTATAGTGTTTTCCAGATGGACTACAAAGCTCAAGTCAGAGCGTGGTTTCTCGTGGGCACTCTAAGAGTTGCCTTCTCACGGCTGTTCTTGTAGAGGACCCAGGTTTGGCTCCCAGCACCCACATGGCTGCTGACAGCTGTCCTTAACTCCAGTTCCAGGGATCTGGTGCCCTCTGCTGGCCTTCACAGGAACCAGGCACACACAGTACACATACATACATGCAGACAATGCACTCATACACATAAAATAAAAATAATTAAGAGCCGGGCAGTGGTGGCGCACGCCTTTAATCCCAGCACGTGGGAGGCAGAGGCAGGCGGATCTCTGTGAGTTCGAGGCCAGCCTGGTCTCCAAAGCAAGTTCCAGGAAAGGTGCAAAGCTACACAGAGAGACCCTGTCTCGACAAAACAAAACAAACAAAAAAAAACAATAAAATCTTTTTAAAAAATAAAAATTGAGCCAGGCAGTGGTGGTGGCACACACCTTTAGTCCCAGCACTCGGGAGGCAGAGGCAGGCAGATCTCTGTGAGTCTGAGGCCAGGCTTGCTACAGAGCGAGTTCCAGGACAGCCAGGGATTCACAGAGAAACCCAGTCTTGAAAAACCAAAACACCTAAATAGATAAATAAATATAAATAAATAAATAAAAATTGGTTTTTCCTTTTGAAAACCTTTAATTGGAAAAATTATCCTTGTGTTTTCCTATACTTTAGTTAATTAATTTTTTAATAATAAATTATAGAGATTTTATAAAAATTATAAATTTTTATTTGTAAAAATTCTTTGATATGTATATAATGTTACTACTTATTAAAGATGAAGGCAAATTTGAATACTAGTGAGATAGCTGTACTTGCTTATTTTTACATAAAGAGTTAAATCCTAGCTGAAATATTTTATACTGTGATACAGAGAATCTTTAGCATTTTTCAAACTTTTTTAAAGATTTATTTATTTTTATGTGTATGAGTATTTTACCTGCATATATGTCTGTGTACTACATGTGTGCCTGATGCCTAGGTCAGATTCCCAGGAACTGGAGTTACAGATGGTTGGGAACCACTATGTGGGTGCTGGGAATCAAACTCAGGTCCTCTGCAGCAGTAATAAGTGCTCTTAACCCCCGAGCCGTCTCTCCAGCCCTCATAGTCGTCAGTGTCAAGAGTGCTGCTTTGCATGAAGGCATAGCGCGGACTGGCAAAGTATGTTCAGGACCATCTTAGAAACTATTGGGAATTCTATCCTAATCCCAAGCTAGAGTTAGTTAATGATTTCCCCCTCCTATTATGGAACTGAAGTCAGCAACTTAACCAGCAGTTTTTATAATGAGACATTCAAAAGCAATATAATCCTAGAGGAGAAAAGATGAGTAACCCAAATAATAAATGGAAGAAGATGCACAGCACACTTATCATCAGAAACAAGGTAAACGTGAAGACAGTGGAGAAATATTTTTCAAATACTAAAAGAAAAGCTTTCCTTTAGATTTACTTATTTTGAGTGTCTTGCATGCATGTTTGTGCACCGCATGCATGCCTGGTGCCCTTAGGGGTCCAAAGAGGGCATCGGATTCCCTGGAACTGGAGCTACAGATGGTTATGAACCACCTTGTGGGTGCTGGGAATTGAACCCTGGCCCTCTGGAAGAACATCCATCCCTCATACCCACTGAGCAATCTCTCTAGCCCCCATAAAATTTTTCTTATAGTTGACTATAAAATATCCTTACAAGGTTATATGTTGAACATTCTTGATGGTGGCACTATTTTGGAATTTTTCACTAGTGAACTTTTTTT